ATATTTGATTTCAGGGTTGACTGGAGTCAGCGCAGGTGGGTACTTGGTAGGCACACATCTAATGAGGGGGGAAAGTGTTGATACCTGATAGCTGTGATCTACCTGTCCAGAAGCTGGATGGGGGCAAACACTGTAGAAAGCATGTGATTCATAAACTCATAACCTGTGATTCATAAACTCATAACAGCTTTAGCTTTAAACTACTCAGCTGTCATACATTTTAAACCCCCTGCCACTGTCAAAATGTTAGAGCCCACCACAGTGCATCTGTAGCAAATACTAAAGGTTGTGTAAGATCAATCTGCATTTCTAGCTGATTTTTGAAAGTGCTAATTATAGCATACAGTTCCAAGAACTAGTATTTCTACATTTATAATTTATTGGAAAATGACTGGTATGAAACAGCAGAGACCGTGAGCTTTGAGTGTAGATAGAATAGGACTCACAACCCTGCTCTGACATGTAACTAATCAAGGCTTTGGGCCAAGGTCTTCTAACTCCCTCTGGCCTTTCTAATCTCTTAACTGGAACTGCAACCAACTGGAGTTAGGATTATAGTTTTGAGTTATAAATGGAACAAGACGTCATTGCTAGGAGAAAGTCGGGCAAAACTAAGAGCTCTCTGCCCATGGCTCTCAGCACTACAAAGAATGAAGCCACTCCATAATATACCCCCTAACTACTATCCACCAGGGGTAGTGAGAAATATACATGAGTATGTGTGCAAAATTACGTCAATGCTTCATGAGCTGGGAATTGTTTTTGTCCTGATACAGGGAGATGCTATGAAAAGAATGAAAAAACAAACAAACAGACAAAAAAAACAAAACAACAACAACAACAACAACAAAACACAAACCAACACCCCCCCCAAAAAAAAACACTTAATGTAGAATCAACTGTGTAATGTGCATGTTTTGTATATCCATGTTTCAGAAGCTTAAGAAAGATGACTGTCAGCCTGTAGCTGCTCTATAGCACATTTAAAAAAAAAAAACCAAACTCCAAGTGCATGACAGCAACATCATCATAAACGTCCTTAGGGTTTCAAGCCATTAGTGTACAATTTGAGGCAATTTTCACTGAGGGCACATTTGCAGGCATCTCCCTGGGGAGAGAACACTGAGTCCAAAAACGAAGGATGAAAAGTCACATTAGTCACTTTCCCCAAAGCTGGAAGCATTTTAGATTTGATTTCAATGTAGATCTTAAAGTGACCCCAGGCAGTCTCCAGCCTCTGCCCTACTTGGAATTGGCAAGCAAGCCTTTGGATGGCGCCCTGTGGTCTCCTACATCGTGCCCTCTCCCCAGCAGGAAAGCTCTTATTTTTTTCCCCTATGTGCTGTGTGCGCTCAACTACCTTTAAGGTCCTTGAAAACATCCCCCTTCTTATTAGAGGATATTTTAGGCTCTGCAGGTAATTTTCTTTAGAGCATAGTTTAGTGCTGGATCCCTGCAAATTCTTCACTCTGATGCGCTCTACCTCTTCGTGGTGGCATTTTCTCTGATGTGGTCCTGTTCCTCAGACCAGCTTAGCAGCTGCTTTGCAAACACCTGTTCAATTTTAGCCTCAGATAAAGCCGGCAGCTTGTTCCCAAAGCCTTGTAAACGTTAAAAGGGAACAAAAGGCTGCCCACCTCGCCAGCACTGACGAGGCGAGGATATGCTGTTTCTTGTAGGGTCTGTTGAAATAGCTGGTCTCCCAGTTCTCCTCACACCATGGAGTTAATCACAAAGCCAGAAGATTTTATTTAATTTCCTCCTTCCTTTAGAATAGTAATTCTCATCTAGGGACAATTCTGCCCCTGCCACCCCCGGTGGACATCTGCAAATGTTTGGGGGTGTCATAATGGGGGTAGAGCACCTGGTATCTAGTGGGTGCCGCACAAGAACTTGCAATGCACAGCACAGCTCTACAGCCATAGACAAATATTCACAGTACCCAAAGATGAGAAGCACTACCTGGGACAGAGGTTTCTAGTCCTCACTGACTGTTAGGATCACCTGTGAGATTTGACTTCCTGTCCCAGGGTCCCTCAGATGAAGAACACTGTTTGGGGTCAAAATGGCTTTTCACTTATAGAACTCCATGCAAAATGAAAAGGCAGGTACTCTTGTTAAAAACTTAGCAATGCAGAGCTCTGTGTGACAATACAGGTGCCTTACTCATGAAGTTAGTGCTCATGAAGAAGTTTGAGGATATCCCAGGCATCAATAATTTCCAGAGCTTTCTGAATGGGCTTAGTATGCAGTCAGGTTGATATCATTGCTAACTAGCATTTATCACTTGTATTGTTCTAAAACAGCAGTTCTCAACCGGTGAGTCAACACCGCTCTGGAGGTCAAACAACCCTTTCACAGGGGTCAACTAAGACCATCGAAAAACAGATATTTACAGCATGATTCATAACAGTAGCAAAATTACAGTTATGAACTAGCAATGAAAATAATTTTATGGCTGGGGGTCATCACAACACGAGGAACTGTATTAAAGGGTCACAGCATCAGGAAGGTTGAGAAGCACTGCTCTAGAATAATCAGCATATGCTTCCTGTGGCCCACACAGGACTCATTTTTGTATCAGGACACAGATCCCCCCAACTAAGCGATGCTGAATAAGCCTAGCTCACTGAAGCATTAGAATGCTATTCATTGTCATCTGCCAAAAATCTCATATGTGCACAGAACATTTTGGCTTTCCATAGGGATTAAGATTCAAGACTCTGTTTGCTTCCCACCATCCTAGAGCTCAGAGATCGGGAGAGAGTCATCAGTCATCAGCTCAGAAGGATAAGACTGGGCAGGTCTTGCCCCTGCTGAGGGCTCCAATATCTTATTTTTCTACCTCTGTAGGAACTACCTTGCCTTTGCACCAAGGCTTCTAAACATGGGAGGGGTTGTCCACTGCTGGCATGTGACATAGAAGCCAGTGGCATGAGAGGAAACTTTTAAAATGAACATTTATTTATTTAAATGTATATGGGCCAAACAATTGCTTCGTTTGTCTCACCACAGAAGTAAAGGTTAAAAACGATCTTAAAACTGGGTTGATTTAAGAAAAAAACAGCAATAGTAGCACAAGTGATGTAGGGGCATGATGCAAGTTATAAACTACAATCCTGTGAAAGAGCTTTGTCATAAAAGACGAAGCCCGAAAATTATTGTCATTTTTGTGGTCCACCCTTGGAACTTGATCTAGCAAAATTTCTCCATGTTTTACAAAACAGAATCTTAGCACATTGCTGAGATCTGAGACATACAGAATGTTAGACCATAGACATGCAGTGATTATGTATGGCTAACAGAAAAGCAAAATACATAAAATGAACCCTTATTTCCGCCTGAGTTTTCTTCATTATATTTACTGAAGTCTAAAGTGAACCCCCAGCTTTTCTAGAAAATGTGATTAGGGACTTTATGACTATAATCCATCTGTTCTCATCCAGGATGTACCAAAGTTTAGTCTTTACCATTCATGTAGTGGTATTCTTTGCAGCCATTAAATGCACTAAGGGCTGGATTCTTACTATGTTGTGGATGATTGATTGATAATAAAACACTGATTGGCCAGTAGCCAAGCAGGAAGTATAGGCATGACTACCAGAGAGGAAAATTGAGAGAACAGGAAGGCAGAGAGGAGGAGACGCCAGCCTGCCGTCCAGGGAGCATCATGTAAAGGCAGCAGGTAAAGCCATGGAACACGTGGCAGTATATAGATTAACAGAAATGGGCTGAGTATAAGAGTAAGAGCTAGCCTGAGCTAATGGCCAAGCAGTTTAAATAATATTAGCGTCTGTATGTTCATTTTATAAGTGGGCTATGGGACTGCCAGGGCTTGGCGGGACCCGGAGAGAAAAATTCTAGCTACATTACTAGCATACAAAGATAAATGTGAGAAAGGTTCCAGGACAGTAACATAGGGTTACAGATGAGGAAGAAAAAGAGAAGAAACATTTCTGAAAAGACAGACCACTGGATTAAATAATTAAGGACCAATAAGGAAACTTTCAAAACTCATTTGTGCATAAAAGCTACCAGCCTGCCATGGTCAGGTGCTATTTTCTTGATGTCATCCAGACACATGCATGAGATGCTGGGTTTGTGAATAACACACACACACACATTAGCAGGACACAAGTAGAACAGTAGGTGAGACTATGGTTTTGAAGGCAGCTTGTGAGAAATTCTGTACACATGAAGTGGGAACAGGAGAACTGACAGACAGGCTAGGTGGCTGAGCAGGGCCTTGTTTGCCACCAGGGTTAGGAGAGGATGGACATGGGCGCCTCCATCAGAGGGAACTGCCTTCCAGGTAGTGTCACGGTTACTCCAGAGAAGTGCTACTTTCCACAGCCCTTGCTTCTGCTGGGTGTCAGGATGAAAACCGTGTTGCAACACCTCCTAAGCAACTTCGGTTCAAGGTCAGAGAAGAGCGTTTGCCCTTTCAGTCTCCATCCTTTGTTCTCAGCTTGTCCATGCTTTGCTTCCTGGCTATCAGAAGTTGTATATCTGCTGAGCTGAAGATGTTTGTGACAGGCATATCAAAAATGGGGGGCCCCATTCTAGTATTTAAAAGAATACTAGAATACAGGAAGCATATGTATTCTCATTTGCATACGTAAAGGATTGGGAGGACACCAACCGCCTGGCAGTACTAGGGCTGTGGCTACCTGGAAACTTCCGTCCATCTGTGTATTTCAAATGCTTTTTCAATAAGCGTTCACATGTGACTTTCATTATATATACTTGGTAGGCATTAAAATATGTGAAATAAAGTATGAAGAGCATAGAATTGGATGCTTCCATTTAGATCCTGAGTGTGTGTGTGTGTGTGTGTGTGTGTGTGTGTGTGTGTGTGTGTGTGTGTGTGTGATGGGAGTGAGTTATACCAAAGGTACCAACAGGGAAAAGAGGTTCAGATTTGAATTAACATAGACACTTTTAAACCTGGCAAAATACTTGCATTCCGGTCATAGAGATAAGAGTCAAAACACACTAACCTGTAAGAGTCGGTCACCCTCAGAAGCGTCCTTACCCCACTGCAAGTAGCCGACATCACTGCGGGTCAGGACTCCGTGTAATGTTTCCCCAGACCTTCCTTTCTCATCGCCGTTGAAGACATTTGGACTTGCTCTCCCAGTCAAAACCATGTTTATAACTGCCTAGATTGAATGTTTTGTTAATATTTATACTTTAGTAGCAATGAAATGAAGACCATTTCCTTTAAAAAGTATGACAGAAATGGTCTGGGATGCAGCTCAGTGACAGAGTGCTTGCCTGTCTGTCAGGCCTAAGGGCCTAGATTCAACCCTCAGCACAAAAAGATAAAACAATCATGTTAAATGCCCGTTTTACTAAAAGAAATGCAGTTATGCAAGCACAGTTCTGGAAAAGCACATGTGTGATATGAAATTGGTAGAATTAAAATGACATTTTTTTTTGTTTTTACTTTTTTCCTGAGTCTTAACCTAGAACTCACCCCTCCCCCCACTTACTAGTCAGGTTTTCTTCCTTTATATTTGTTTTAAATGTTTCCATTGCTGTGACTTAGGAACATGGAGCTAAAATGTTGCATGCTGTTTGTTTTGTCAGATCTTAGGGATACGTGGTGAGTCTTGTCAAGGCATCATCTCTGTTTCTAAGATCTCTGGCTTTTGTGGGTAATCCGGGAAGGACTGTTGAAACCAGAAGGCAGGGTCTGATAGCAGTATTTCATCTTTCAAAGACAGCACGACCAGGTTTTGCTCAAGAAGAAAATGGAACTTACTTAGAGAGCAAGCCTGATTCAGAGTCTACAAAAGAAACCCCGTCTTCCCACCTACCTGCCTGCACAGGATGCTTCCAGCACGGGACTGCAAGAGATGAGTGGTGGTGACATCCAGGTCCTTCTGAAGCCTGCAGGATGAGGGGAGCTGTCAGCACCTGGCCCCAAACAGTGATCACATCGGGGAATACAGCAGGAACAAGGCCACTGTCCCTTGCTCATGCCCTTCATGTTTCTACATGTCTGAGGACTAGGACCAGGGTTGCAGGGGTGATGGAGAAGCTATGGTTTGGATGGTGAAGTAAGGAATAAGTGGTCAGGAAGGAAGACGCATACAGACACATACATGTCCTACAATAGAATTCCTGTGTATGCTCTAGATGGATTCCAGGCTCACTAGAGAAGAGGCTTGTTCTATACAACCGATGTTTCCAGACAGTGTGACACATGACCACACCAGAGAGTGTTGGCTTAAAGCGGGACTGAACAGACTCGTCAAGTGGAAACCAGAGTGGCTGCAGCTTCATTTCCTGTCTTAAAGATCAGAGACCAGGGGTTGGTTCTACCCTTGACCATATAAAGCGGTCTGTGGCTCTTGTCAACGGAGAGAAATATAGTGCTGAGATGGAAACAGTTTGTGTTCTTGAGTTGACTTATCCAGAGATTGGAGGGCATGCCCTCTGTAAATGACATGTAACTGAGGATAGTGCTATTCAAAGTACAACGTAAGAGAAGGTGGTATAGATTTGAGCATTTACATTTTAGTAGTAGCAGCTAAGCACGGTGGCACAGTGCTATAATCCCACCTATCTGGGAGACTAAGGCAGAAGGATGATGGCAAATCTGAGTTCAACCTGGATAATTTTACAAGAGCACGCCTCAAAAAATAAAATGAATCTTTTTTAAGTGGCTGGGCATTGTAGCTCAGTAGCAGAGTTTGCCTAGTGTTTGTGATGCCCTGTGTTCTAATTTCAGTATGCACACGCACGTGTGTGTGTGTGTGTGTGTGTTTCACACACACACACAGTTTATGGTGATGCATTTATTTAAATGCATGGTTTTAGTTGTTAATCTTGGGGTTAAACCTTAGGCCTCATACATGCGGGTCAAGTGCTCTAGCGCTGAGGTAGATCCTTAGTCCCCTTTTGATAAAACCATGACACACCTATGGAGTCAGAGGACAACTTGTGAGGATCCATTCTCTCTCACACTCTGATTCTGTGGCTCACATTCAGATCCCAAGGCTTGGTGACAAGTGTCTCTTACCTGCTGACCCATCTTGCCAGCTCCCTAGCCCCATTTCGCTCCTTATTTTGAATTAAAATGACACTAAGTTGCCCATTCTGTCCTTAAACTTACCCTGTAACCCAGGCTGACTTTGAACTTAAGATTCCCTTGACTCAGCCTCCTGAGTGACTGGGTTTATAGACCTGTGAAGGCATGTCTACTACATCTTTATCATAGTAAATGACTTAAAGAATTTGCTTACTTATTAATGTTGAAGACACTAATGGGAAGAATATTAATGTTTAAAAACAGGTCTACACTTAAATACGTGTTGATTTAAAGAACTTACTAACTAAGTAATGACCAGCCCATACAAATATGATTGTCACAAAAGACAAGCTTCAGGAACACTGCTGCAGGTCTTGTAATTCTTCCCTCCCAAGAGCCCCTATGCCTTGTCTGACTCTCAAAATCATGTGTTTCTTTCAGAGTCTGTAAAAAAGTCTACCTCTTTCATGAAACTACTGTGTATTCTGGAGGACCCTTTCTCCTCTGGAATCCACCAGGACTCATTATCTCTATGCCATTTGGGATGTCAGGTGCTGCCTGGGTTTCATCCACTATTTCTGGGTATATCTGCTGTCTTCCCCAGAGTGGAACCCACAGAAGATGAGCCCCTCATCGTCTCTTATTATATTTTCCATGGTGCCAAGAACAGAACTTTGCATAGCATAGACAAAAATTAGACATCTGAGGGGTTTTTGTGGATAATAAGATATTCACAAAGGACACCTTGCCTACTCATATGGATGAATCAACTAAAGAAAAAGACATGTGGGCAGAAGACTAACCACTGGATAAAATAGGGAATGAGAATGTTTTCCTACCAAGTTCACATCTATGTGATCCCAATCCTGTTGGCAATGCCTGCATGGACGTTTGTGAAATTTACCTCTCAAACGTTCTGGAGAAGACCAGGCTGTAGAGGAACAGGATGACACCATGGCTTCTTTCCCCTTGGAACTGTGAAAACCAAGACCGACACCTTTGCTTAAAAGCACTGTGCATAGAGGGCACACATGTGGGTATGACTTCAAGGTCTAAGAAAAGCCCGCCCCTTTCCTAGTGACTGGAAGAGCGGAGGTTCTCTTCTTCCCAGTCACTCCCTTCTTCTTCACTCGAAGGCCACCCATGGGCCAACATTCTCTTGGTCTTCAACTTAGCCTTTCCTTCTTCCCCTTCTGTTTAGTGGTCCTCTTTAAATCCTGGCTAAGATGGAGTCTGTTCCCTAGCAGGACCCTTGGTGCCACACTGCGCTGACCTGCTTTGCTGAATATGTCTTTTCTACCTCACGGAATATGTCGGGTACCTCACTGAGTTCAGAAGAAGCAGGGGACTCACAGAAAGAGCTTTGGCATTGACAAGTGAACAAAGACAGGTTTCTTCATCAGCTTCTTCAGTTTTATCTGCAACTTTCACAACTACTACATTCTCTTCCCCCAACCCCTGGGATCTGTTGCAAAGGTTAAATGGAATAATGTACGGTACACATCTTGGTTCTTGGAACATTCTGAGTCCATAGACTCTGTCCCTCTTTAAGGCTGTTCTACCTAGAACTTTGAAAAGGTAATTTGTGACTCCATGGATCATATTGAAACTGTCTGATCAAATCAATCCTCTCCAGGGCTAGCCTTATCTTAGCTTTCTGTCAGCTTTCTCCTCACTGCAAAGCAGCCCCTTTGCTGGCCTTCCAGGTGTCCAGGCCTAAAGCCTCCTTTGAAGGCACAGCAACAGGAAGGCTTTTGACAGGACACATTTCGTTTTCTTCATGCATTAGCGTGTCTACATTTATATCTGTATCTTGGTAGAATACAGAACCCTCAGGCCTGAGAACGGGTTCCAGAGACATAGGCAAAAGACAGGACTTCAAATGAGTGTTCTTTGGGGTATAAGAGATATGGGAAGTGTGGGGCCTGAGGCTAACTGGAAAGCTGTTGTGTATTAGTTACCTCATTGCTGCTACAACAATACCACAGACTTGGTGGCTGAAAACAACACTGAATGATTATCTAAGGCTCCAAACCCAGCATGGGCACAGCGGTTCTAATGGAGTTCCTAGTCTAACCCCTGGAGTGTGGCTTTCTCCAACTTTAAGAATCTGTCCTCATCTCTTCTTCATGGCCCACCACCTAGTCTTTTCTCTATTCTTATGCCTCCCTAGCTTTCCTACCTCCTTCTTCCCATTGGTAATGACACTGGTTAATTAGGCACACAGTGCAATCCAGTGTCCTCCCCCATCTCAAGATTCCGAGTCACATCTGCCAAGTCCCTTTTACCAGGTGTGACTCTCCATCACCCTGTCAGCATATCTGTTGGGATTAGCAGCCTGTCAGTTAACTGAAGACGTAAAAGAATGTAAGTTCAGGGTTGCCGTCTTTTCTGGGACGAATTTTGATTCCACAATTCTGTTGTGAAATTTCCCGATTGTTTTTTTTTGACATGTACAGATTCAGATGCCTGTACCACTAAGCAGGCTGGCACTCTGCTCATATGAGACGATGTATTTGATTTCCTAGGGTAGCTTTCACACTTTATCAGAAAATCGAATGTCCTAAAATAATAGGAATCCATAGCCTAACAATTCTGGGAACTGGAAGTTTGAAACCAAGGTTCAGAGTCAGGCAGTACTTTCTCTGAAGGCCCTGGGACAGGGTCCTTCCTGAATCTTCAGGCATTGCTTGCTGAAGCCATTGGCACTCGTTGGATCGCAGGCCTATTACCCAGACCTCTCTCCATTTTAGCTATGTCTCATGGCATGCTTCCCATGAAACAGCCCGCAGATTTCCCCTTTTTACAAACTATCAGCTATTGAATTCCAGCTCACCTGATGCAGTCTGACCTCTTGCGAACTCAACCACATCTTTAAATGACTACATTTTCAATCAAGATCGCATTCCTGGGAACTTCAATCTGTGTTTTTGCAGGGCAGGAGGAAGGGGCCTAGGACCTCAGCATTTCACTTGACTGAGGAGGTGGGGTGGGGGGGGTCACCTGACAGCAGTAGTCCTCCTGCCCACAAGCAGCCCTCAGAGCTCTACGTTGAAACCTCTGTCTAAATAAAACGGGGTGCAGGACAGATGCAATTGATAGTAAGTAGACTTTGAATAAGGTCTGTTGATTACAGTGTTGTAGCCAGAAGGTTTCTCTGGTCCTGCCTGGAAGGGATGCTCCCCTCACTCAGGAAATCGTGCCTGGTCCTCCTTAGCCAGCTTGGGTTGGCTGGCTCGGGTGGCCCTTATGCCTCCCCACCAGCACAGCATAGTCCTCATGGACTTAAGACATTTTCTAATCATGCCTGCCCAATTCTTAGTTTTGGATGGGGGAACCTGTTTGTAGCCTCAGCTCAGATTCCTGACCAAAACCCTGTCTCCATTAGTTTAACCAAGATAATCTACAGTGTGGATGTAAGTACCCATGCCTTAGTTCTGTGCCTCTATTGCCTTTGCAAGGGGTTTTTATAAATCTCTGTTCTGCCCATGTACTCTGCAGCGCTTGGCTTCATGGTTAGCCTGCTAATTATCCGCTGCTTACACTGGAGGTCTTTAATTCTTTAGAAAATCCTGTTTTGTTTTCTTCTCCTCTATAGAAAAGCCTTTAAATACCACCTCCCACTTTTCTGCCATTCTTATCCACTACTTTGTCCCCTCTTTACCCAGGCTGGAGAAGAGGCAGTGCAGTGGTGGATGTTGTGAAGGTGCTCAGAAGAGGTGAACAGAAGCTGCCTTGCAAGGCCCTAAGTCTCTCACTTGAAGTCAATGTGACACGTCTTTGACACAGCTTAGTTTGCCTCCACTTTTGTTTGTTATTCACGAGATGAGGTGAGCCTGCTTTAACATTTTCCTCCCCTTCAAAGAAATCCTGGTATCTGGCCTGAAAGGTGCTGTTTTCTAGGATTGATTAGCTGAAGGACAGAGGCGTCCATGAGTGGCTTCTGTGTGATCTGGCCTCTGTCCAGGCTGTGAGGAGGGAAAGGCAGGCTTGTCTGTCTCCTGTTCTGCCCTTCCTTAGCCCTCAAAATGACCTGGTTTTCTTAACAAGCACCATTAGAAATATGCTTTTTAAAAGAATGAAGATCTAGGTAAGATCAGTTCCACATAAAGGGATTACCTCAACATTTAAACACTTACACATTGTAAATGATCATAGATGAATTTCTCAGCGGCTTCTTTCTCTGAAAATTCAAACAGCTGGAGCTATAGATCGGGAATTGAAGATAAAATGAAAAGGAAGATGAAAGGCATCCCTCTCTAAGAGATATCATTTCACTGTTATTACCTAAAGGGAGGTTTTTGTTTCATTATAAAATCACATTGTGGAAAACTGACATCAAACACAAGGCCACATAAAACATACATGATAAAGCTGGGTGGTGATGGCATCCCTGTTATATCCCTCAATTTTGAGTCACTATAATATCTCAAATAAAAAAACTATGAGCAGGTTTTTTTTCCCCTGATAGAGTTTAACTGTCTTTATGGTAACAGATAGAGAAATGCAGCTAATGCTGATTTCAGAGGTGGATTTTTCTTTTCTTTTTGTTGGTATGCATCATACTCAGGGCTTTGCAGAACATTTTACCACTGAGATATCCTAAAGTCCACCAGACCAAATGCAGTAGATTCTTGCTTCAAGGGAACTTTAGGAGGAATTCGCCATTTTGGCCACCAGTCACTTACAGCCCTTGGTGACTGCATCCTCTGAAGGTATCTTTGGCTCGTTCAGGTCCTCAGTGGGGCTGGGCTTCCACACCCATGTGCACACTCAAGCTCCACCGGCTCTTTAGCTAACACAATGGCTGGAGTGCACTTACCCTCTCAAGGAAATTGTTGCTGGAGTAGTCAAGAATCGGAGTGCTATTGATGTCTCTGGTGACAAAACAGACGACAGCCTTCTCAGCTGCTCCTGCAGTCCACAGGACGTCGGCCAGAACGGCAGCTAGAGCTTTCTCCTGCTCGCGCTGGCTCAGGTTGCATAAACTGCAATGTGGGCGGGGCCAGGGAATTCAACAAGGGAATGAGCAACCTGGCCTCTGATGTTTATGTCCTCTTGTGAGTATGGGGGACAGCCCGCTGGCTTCCCTCTCAGCCTGCAATGTGAGGGTGTTGCAGGACAGTGTGATCTTCCTGCTTGGGCTATAGCTTCAGTCTCCACAGCAGCACATTAGTTCTCTCAGCGACACCAGCCTGTCTCATTCTATACACCCCCCTGTTTCGTCTCTGAACTTCAAAATGGCTCACCCTGAACTGCTGCCAACTAACGCAGTCATTTTTCAAGTCCAGCCCCAAACAATCCTTGTAGTTTCGCCTCCCACATGTCCACTTTGCAAAACCTGTTCCCCGATGGAACTCCAACCACCCCCTGCACATTTCATTCCCATGCCTTTCCCTCAGGCACGTGCACATTCAGTTTTCCCAATGCCCCCTTTCCACCTGCTCCTGTCTTAAAGAGGTCCACGTCAGCTCACCCTTAGCCACTGCTCACCTCACTCAGTACTTTGCTCGTATTACCTCATTTAACCCACGAAAGTGCTCTGTGGCAATACTAGATTTGTTCCTGTTTTAGAGGTGAGGGAGTGACAAACAGAGGCTGAGTAATTCAGGCCACCCGGGTCCTGAGTCTCTGCTCTTTACTACACAACTCAGGGCACTAACGTGCCCCGAGGACCTCCAGCTTCTCGGGAAGAGGGAACATTCTTTATTCTGCTTTTTTTTTTTTCCTCCAAATTTTAACATTTGGCTCAAAGAGAAACACTGACAGAGGCTAGCAGTCTTTGTATTGTTTGTCTAGCTCTTTGATGGGACAGAATAACTGCAAAGCTCACACAGACAGAATGACAGAAAGACAATGTGCTCACAGGCAGGAGAGGGGACTTGTGACGGGGAAGGTTCTGGAAGGCGACATGGAGCAGGGCTCCCAGAGCAGTGACTTATTTACATGTATTCAGTGTCCTAGGCCAGCCAGCTGCTAGGCTGTGTGCTTATGCAGTGAATGGCTGTGTGTTTTAGCTCAGATCTCTTGTGCTCTCACATGATGAGTGTGTCCCCTGTAGTAGGCGTTTTCTACAGTCCTGCCTGGCCCATGGTCAGGACAAATCTCTCACCTGCCACTCCCGCAGCTGCTCAGACCCAACCAAGTAAACACACAGAGACTTATATTTCTTATAAACTGTATGGCTGTGGCAGGTTTCTTGCTAACTGTTCTTATATCTTAAATTAATCCATTTCTATTAATCTATAAGTTGCCACATGGCTCATGGCTTACCAGTACTTTACATCTCACTTTTTATGGCAGCGTCTGGCAGCGTCTCTCTCTGCCTCAGCCTTCTACTTCCCAGAATTCTCTTTTCTGCTTGTCCCACCTATACTTCCTGCCTGGCTACTGGCCAATCTGTTTTATTTATTAACCAATGAGAGCAACACATTTGACATACAGAACATCCCACGGCAGTCCCCCATCTACTTGGGGTCCTGCTCCTTGTGACTCCTACTTTCCAACTTTTCAACCCCCAAAATGACTAAATGATGTACTTTCCCTTGGGGGGGGGGTGGCCAATGACTGGCTGGGGTGGGAAGTAGAGAAGCCCTGCCTCTCCACTGAAGGTGGGCAGACTGAAGAGCTAAGTGTGTTCCCTAGCTCTGCCTCCCATCTCACTGAGATGTCTGGGGACCACCTCCCCCCTTTGGCGCTTCTCCCTTCTTGTGCTGTTTCCTTGCCCTCTTATAGAGGTCTCCTGAGGGTACCCCCTTATTAAATCGCTTGCATAAAGAATTTGCATCCTGGGCTCTGTTTCTACCGCACGTGGCTATTCCTGGTCTTAGAATGTATTGCACCTTGAACTCCTGTTTTAGGTGATAACTTATCTTGCTGGAGGATGATGCCTTTTTGATGAATTATAGTCCTCTAATATCTAACGTAGGGATCATGAGAGAGGTTTGCTAGTTTCTAAGTTTCAGCTGATTCTGTAAGAAAAGGGCAAGTACAAAACATTGTTCCATTTCTGCCAGTTGAGTAGGAAGATGGCCCCCTCATTTGCCAGTTCCTTACATCACGGCTTGAGTCTTCGTAGGGATGGGAGGTTGGACCTTCCCATCTAATGTGGAAACATGAGCACACCTGAAACCTGGAGTTTCACCTTACTTGGCAGGTGGTCTGCAGTAGAGCATGGAATCTGCCAAGTTTATTCTGTAGGTGAACACTGAATGTGACCTCAGGAGAGCTCTCGCCCCCCCCCCCCCGGGGGGGGGGGAACACCCCACTCCTCTGGGAGAACCTGAGCCATTTCTCTCTTCAGGGACTGGACATTGTTCCTGAAGCAACCTGAGAATTTCATTGCGACTGTTTAGCATATGAAGATTCTAGGTCATTAGGCCACCTTTTGTGTGCTAACCACAGTCCTCTTACCTGTGCAGGTTGCAGTCTTTTCGCTCTCTAGAAAACAGTAAGTGTTTGATGATGGATCCTTGTACAGCCATCTGAATGCTCTGGGCGCCTCCCTGAAGTAGGTAAAAAGAACCATGAAGCGGGAAGGGAAGGCTGGAGCGGGCGCTACCACTCTAGAGGCATCCTTGCAAGAAGTAAATCTTAGAACTGGGTGCTGTCCTTGCCTGTGCCTCTCTGCACCTTCCCTTCCTGTTGTCTCCTGGGGCTTAGCAAAGGGACCCGCTCCTCCATGTCCCCCTCTCCGTGGCCTATGACTGGATGCCATCACCAAGCTAGAATCTACAGTGACAAGCTTCCTGCCCTCAGCCTGCTGCCTGGGGGTCAAAGTTCTCTCCTGCCTGCCGTCACTGTGCCTGGCTTCACACCACACTTTGACATGGGAAGGAAGCAAGAGACCAGTTGGCTGGCTACTGAAATTTAGGTGTGACTAATGACTTCTGACATGGATCACTGCATTTCGGGCAAGCCAGAAAGTTTCTAGATTTCCTTCTGCCTTGTAAATCTTTCTGGGGGCTTGAAATTTGGAGAGAAGCCGCATAATGTTATATTTTAAAGACAGCAGGCGAGAGACCTTGGTGAGCTGGAGCCAAGGTGCCCCATGTCAGGTAACAGACAGAGACACGCCATGCAGACAGCGCTCATGTGGAGAGGAGAGAGGGAGGAAGGGAGGGGAAGGGAGGGGGAGGAAGGGAGGAGGGGGGTCGAGGAGAGAAGAAGAGAAGAAGAGAGAAGGCAGTGAGGTGTGGGAGCCCATTCTCGGGTTCCTCGTGGCTTTACCCAGCAGGTCCACATGGAGGATGATTAGGACCACGGGCCTGAGTGCAGGTGTCTGAGATGGTCTGCACTTGGCTGTGCTGGGGGAGGAGGTCTTTTGCTCCACCCCTTGGCGTCTCTATAAAAACCCCGGGGCAGAGACAGTTGGGGCCCATTGGAATAGGTTCATGGCCCTGTCGAGGCTATCCTTTATTTTCTATCTGTTTATTTCCGCAAGATTCTCCGCAATAAATCCTTCTATCTAATATTTCCTGCTGCTCGCACTCAAGAAAACTCTGGGGAACTGTAGGGTTGGTGGGTAAACGCCTCACAGTGAGGCCCCACCTTTTATGAGGGGACTTCACGCATGTGCAGAGAGACCATGTAGCAATGAGTGCTTGAGGTTGTCAGGACCCAGAGCCGGCCAAGGCACTGCCTGTATATTGGCCAGGTCCTCAAGGGGCAGGTCTGAATGCTAACAGAGAAGGCTTGGAGGAATAAAGAGATGCTGACTTGGTTAGAGCCTAAGAAATATTTAGTAACATTAAAAAGTCTTTTATCCTTTATAGTTACACATTAATTTCTACATTTGATTATAATGACACATGCACCCATAAAGAAGCATAGACCAGCAAGATGGGATTAGGAACCGGAAATGACTGAGCCAGCTGTCGCCAGCTGTCACCTTTTCTACTTGTAAAGCAAAAGCCAGATCGGAGAAGGGACGGTGAAACTTGAAATGTGCCCTCCTCCAGTCTCTGCCCAGGACATCGACGGTATTTCCAAAGAGACTTCTTTGCAACATCTGAAAAACGAGGACAAAAGAACAGCCGAAGTAAATGATTCAGCCAAAGGTAATTGGTCTTGGACACAGCCCTCTTGGTGAAGTCATCCTTGTTCTCATCCATGTGCAGATTCACCTCAGACTTGAGGTCCAGTTTTCATTGGGTAAAGTCCTGGGCAGAACTTTCACATCAGGTTTTCCTAAGCCACTGTCCTGGGAATTTAGTATGTCTGGTTGTGTCTCTGTGTGTCATTTCCTGTCAGCCAGCTCTAGCATGTGGTCCAGCACAGGCCACTGCTCTGTTCTCTGCCTCTTGCCCCATTATCTGACTCTGTAATGTCTATTTTTCCCATCACTGAGATCTCCTCTCTTGATCTAGGGGAGGGGATGAAACGGGCAGGACCCCATATTCCTGTCCTTAGTACAATAGTAAGTGATTTCAATGATAGTCACCAAGAAACCTTGGCTATTTTCCTGGATACTTTATAGTACACTGAGATCTGTGAGGGACTTTCCAGAAAACAAAAAATAAGTTGCTATTAAAACCCATGAAGAAAAGGGGAGGGGTCCATTTTGTAGTCACTGTGACAAACTATCATTTTGACTCCTGGGTCCAGGAGGTTTGATCATATCTGTTTATCTGTTTAATCCCATATTTGTGGGGGAGAGACATGACAGAGCAGAACAGGAAGTGTGGACAGGGGAATGTTGGAGGTTGGCTCTTTCCTATTTACCCTCTTACTCTGTCAGGGCCTCCAGCACATGAGATAGTGTCATTCACATTCAGGAAAGGTCTTTCATCACAATATATTCTCTGAGGAAGCCCTCACAGGCATATTGCAAGGTCTACCTCAGTCTCTTAGGTGATTCTAAATTGAGTCATATTGATTATGAAAATTAACTATCTCACTATTCATATTCAAAAGCTTAACAGTCACAGCATGTACATGTACATGGCATGAAATTTAATTACATTAGGAGCCTAACACTCCAAAACTATGCATAGGCTACAATATGTGACATTCCATAGGATGGTAAAAGTGCCATGAAATAAAAAAGGGAGGAAAGAATATTGAAGTTGCATTACTCAGAAAGGCTTTGTGGCAGAGGCCGGATTTGAACTAGGCTGGTAAATGCATGTGTTCAGAATTTTATGTGTTCCAAGCACGGGACTAAGTTTGGAGCAAGTTAGAATGACTATACTGATTTAATTCTGGGTGTAGGTACTGTTACTTGGCGTGATCTGTAAATACCTGGGAGGCAAGCCTGTGAGAGATCATATCAATTGTGTTAACCGAGGCAAGAATGCCCACTAAAAGTGGCTGGGATCCTGGGCTGTGTAAAGAGGAGAAAGTGAGCTGACCATGAGCAGTCATGCTTCTGCTTCCCAGTTTGGGGCAGGTTATGGCCAGCGGCTTCTACTCCTGATGTTTTGACTTCTGCACCACAATGTGCTGCCCTGGTGAGTGGAGACAAACCAGCCCTTTCTCCTTGAGGGGCTTCTGTCAGGGTTTGTTTGTTTGTTTGTTTGTTTTTAAATCACAGTCCATGCTTCCTGGCTGTTTTGCTCTGTCATGATGTCTTTACCATGCTGGAATAAAACTCTGATGCCATGAGCCAAACTTAATCAAGAAAACTTAATCAAAGACACTTAGCATCCTCCTTTTATCTAGATTGGGGAGCTGGAGGAAGAGAAGGGGGGCACTTGCAGTCACCAAGCTAACAGAAACAATGGGGTTGCACCCGTTCCTCTAATATGTCCCCCTCTTTGATTCTGCATGTGCCATCTTCATGCTTCCTTTTGTTTTTGTGTGAAGATCACTGCTCAATTAAAATTTTCATTAGATTAGGCTGCTTTTGGTAATCCAGTGAAGGCTTGTTGTAAAAGGATGCCTTTACCATTTCCTCTAGTGAAAAGCAAAATCACTATACCATCAAAGAAATACAATGGAAGTTGAACAGTGTTAAGGACTGTAGCTGGAGTGTGCTACTGTGTCTTGGCTCTGCATCATTACAGAGGGGGGAGGTTTCAAAGAGGAGTGGTATATACTGTCCTTTGCAGAGTCTGTCCCCCTGGCCTGCAGAGTAGGGAAGGGGATGACCTCCTCCAGGATGACAGCTTTGCAGGATATTATTGATGCCACATCCCTCGGAGCAGAGGTACTCATCCACACTCAGAGATAGAGTCTGAACAGAGAGAGGAAAATAGGCTCACATCAAAGGCATTCTGGATGGAGGGGTGAGACACTGGGAAGGGCAGGGGGTGGACACTGAGAATGGAAAGCACCTGTGGCCCGATCCCACAGGGCTTTAAATTTCATCCTGAGGTGTTTGGTGCCAGTTACAGAATATGAACAAACAGGCTGGTCCAGAGTTATGGCACCTTTTCCTAGCCTTGCACAGAGCAGGTCCCTTGGGTTTGCAGAAGAGTCAGGAGAAGCATGCCATGCCAGCCTTCCCCATGCCAGCCCCTGGGCTGGTTTCACAGCTGGAGGTGATTTCTGTGCATCTATGTGCCTACCTTCAAGGAAAGATTATCTTTATAAAGACTAGAAATGTGTACTTTTCCTTGGGAGCCAGAGCCGAGTAGTGTCTTAAAGAAAAACCCTCTAAGATGGTTCTCAGGGCAAGAAAAAAGTAGCAAACATGCCCAGCAGCTGCTCTTGGAGATACAGGACAGGGAGTATACTGTGGCAAAGAGGCCACTGGCCCACAGTGTGTGTGTGAGAGGCACCACAAACCAATAAGAAGTGTTTCCCCAGACACAGAGCTTAAATAGCCCAGAAGAAAGATTTTGATAAGCCTGCCTCCATCTTAGACTTGAAAGTAAAAACAAACTAGGCTCATTCCTGTTTGTGATTAAATCTCTATTTCTCAAAGATTGAGCTACGACCCACCTTAACTTTAACTACAAATTGTTCTGTTCTGCCTGTTCCAGGAATGTCAAGCATGTCTTTGTTTCAAAAGGTTGTTATGACCACCTGTTGTTATAACCACCTTGTCATGAATACCTCGTTATGACCACCTTGCAACCACGTCTTTCAGGGGGTTGTTATCACCAACTTGTTATGCTTGTGTTCTACTCCTGTGACCCCCCCCCACTTATTTGCCTGCCAACAACCCCATTTGGAAACCCCCTACTCCTGAACTATAAAAACCCCTATCTCATCCATGTCCAATGCTGATCTCTTGAATCTGCCTTTAGACAGAGGAAAAGAGCCTGTGTATACAATTTTTTAAAAAGCTTGCTTTAAGTAACCATTTGCTTTAATTAATTTGGCCATGGCTTGGGTCCGTGGTCTTTCTCCTCGAATCCGTGGGATTAACAGTTTCCAACCCAAGGACTGAGACGCTCCAACTGCCTCTGACCTCACTGACCATGGAAACGTTCCTGTTTCCGTATTGAGTAGTGGGACAGCTGCTCTCATCCTGTCCCACACCACTCGTTGAAGGGGAGGAAGGGGAAGGGGCATTGGGTACCATGAGTGATACGTAAATGCAGCATGTCGCCATCCACATGGAAACACCGCCCGCCCGCCAGTGTGCAGTTGTCTGTGCGGTGTGGAGGAAAGTCCCAACACAGATGGGAAGATACCAGCGGCTGGCAAGAAGAGGGAGGAGTGAATAGGAAAGGTTGGGACTAAGAAGGATCAAGATTCACTTTCAAGTTCAAACTGTCCATGAGCTCAGCCAGATTTCCTGTTGCTGTTGCTGGCTGCCACCCTCAACTTGGCATCACCTTTCAGTTGCACCTCTGGGGTACCCAGGAGCAGGGAGCTGGAGGCCCTCCTAGCCAGTGTGACAAAGATGACCTGACTTACTCGAATAATATTCATTTTCATATCAGATATAACTTATAATAAAATTAATCAGACACACCCTTAAGGATATTCATATGCTGTACTGCCTGGGAACTAGATAAATGGCTATAAAAGATGTCTATAATGGTTATTAGTACTCAACACAATAAAGCACAGTTTAGAGTGTTTCCGTCTTCACTTGCTAGTTTTCTAGTGTTTGTAACATGCACATTCAAACAGGTGCTCAATCATTCTCCCAGTATCCAATATCTGATTCAGTCAATCAATATCCTTACCTATTTGAAGGTGTATGTGTGGCACTTGTGTGAATGATGATCACTGTCATTGTCACAACCATCATCCGTCGTATGACACATGGAGTCAGGAGCGAGAGGACTTTGTTACAAATACAAGACTATTTACAAACATGTAGGCATGGGGTCAACCACAGTGGTTTGTACTTGTATGAGGTCTCAGGGCAAGTGATTTTGACAGGGCAAGACAGTGCAAAAATTTCTCCATCTTGTCTTCTTGCTGAGGCCATTTCAAGTTTAACTGGAATCTGACCTCCTTGCTGGAGAATCCCATGGGAAATTACCCATTCTAGTCTCGGAGCCCAAGGTCAGGATATCCTAGTTAACTTAGCCTTTTTTTTTTTTTTTTTTTTTTGTACAGAACTTCCTACAGATAACCACTCTTAGCTCCTGCAAACCTCCTTACCCCACCTCTGCAGCTGCCAAGCAAGATGCCAGGATGTAGGTTTTGTCTTCAAAACCCTGTGCTCTGGACACTCGGGGTAACACCTAGCTAGATCCTGGAATACCTGGGTGTGATCTTAACTGGCTCCAATAAGACTTTCAGTTGGCTGTAAACTTAAGTGTCTTAAGTGGTCATTTCAGGTGGGCTCCTCATAACACAGAGCGGGAGTCATAATGTATGACCTCTAGGTGGGAGGCAGTGGGGTCTTGAGCTAGGGAAAAGAGCATTCTCACCTTGCTTGACTTTCTTCTTTCCCTCCCTAGTCTCAGCTTAGGGATCCCCATTGCTAAAAACCCAGAAGAAGCCAGAGTAAAGGTTTCGCTATTGATAGGGCATGCCCCATTTATAGAAACCCTACAGTTCAGGTTCACGGGCAGAGAGCATGATGGAAGGTTCATAGCAGATTTCACTAATGAGTCCTAAGATGCATCAGAGGGATATGCAGAGGCAGAAAATCAAGAACCCCCTATCTATGAAGCAGACCTTATGCTGGTGCACCAGTCTCTGCCTTCTTACACCAAAGGACACACTTGCTATCCTCTAGCAGAGCCCAGTGCTGATCTCTTGTTATCATTTTTTTAACCATGAGATTTATAGAGAGTATTGCAGCTGTATCAGGGATTTGTTTATTGTTGCCAATAAGTGGTCACCAGAATGTGTTCGAAGCTGGGTGTGAGAGAAGGGTCTGGCCGTGGGAGAGGATGGGGATCTGGGACCACAAGGATGGAAGACTATTGGTCAGGACTGGGTAAGAGCCCGGTAGTCACAACTCTTTCTGTTTCATCAGGGGTTGTTGACTCATCTCATCCACCAAGCCTGCCATAGAAGTCAGGAAGGAAACAAACAAAAACCTCTAGTCTGAGACAAAAGGTGAGAAACAGGAGAGGTGAAATAGAGCAGGTGGGCAGGTTGCTGTAACCAACCCCCATTTCCTAGGGGGATTCCCAGCCAAGAGACAGCCTGTGCCCTGTCGGAAAGCATCATGCATCAAGAGCAGCAGAGCCACACAAAAGACATTCAGAGAGTGTTTTGACTCAGAGGCTCTGATAATTTGCCAGGTGGCTGCACTCCCGAAATGCTGATTAGAACTGGTCAAGCTTCCAAGACTCCTCCCTGGAACAGGCGCGTTCAGAATCCCAACTGTGGCCAAGTCCCAAGGTGTGTTTAATGAATGCTGCCCTTATTCAGAGGACACACTAGCATCTGGGCCACATAATGGGAATACATCCAAATTCATTTTTTTTAAAGAAAAATCAATTCTCTCTACTTCTGGGACTTCCTTAACACTCCATCAACTGTGTTTCCGCTGCACTGGTCTGAGTCTTTTGTTTTACAGCCTTTTCCAAAGGGAAAGAACTGCCTTGGGGAAGGTGGGAAGAGCTCCCTCGGCCTCTGTTTGTTTTTGCTAGTGAGAGGAGCTTCTAGATCTGCACCCTCCTGCCTCCCCAACACAAGGCTTCCAAACATCTGTGAGTGCTTTTTTTATTTTTAAAATGTGTGTGTGTGTTTTTAAAAATAGACAGTACATTGTGCGGCTCGAAAACCAGAGTACAAAATGTGTACTGTGAAAAAAAAGGATTCCTCCCATTTGTCTCCCTACCCCACCCCTGCCTTTGTGGCCTAGGAAGCCTTGCAGAATTTATCTCTTTATTTACAGGCAAATACCAATATAGAATCACAAATTTCTCTCTTTTTCACATAAAAGAGATGGTCTATTTTTTCACACATGTAAATTTTAAAATGATAATCCACATAGAAATTTCTTACAGATGCCAAGAACATTATCTTTATCTTATCAAGTAAAATGCATATACAAGCTGGGTGACCCTCATCCAGAATGTTTGGGATGTCATGGGTTTCAAATTTTGGAATATTATGTGTGTATACTCGTGTGTGTGTGTGTGTGTGTGTGTGTGTGTGTGTGGTGGTGGTGGTGGTGGTGGTAGGATACCTTGGGACCAGGGCTCAGTTATGAATTTGAATAGTTACAGTTTATATAAATCTTAAGCCTATCACACAAAGGCATTTGATAGGACATTTAGTGTGCCTGTTTTTTTACTGCAACATGAGGTCAGGTATGGGACTTTCCTCCTGTCACGTGAGTGCTCAAATCAGTTTTGGGCTTTGGAACATTTTAGGCACCAGGCGAATTTGCTGTAACTTCTGAACTATATCACAGTATGGGCTTCATAACCTCTGAGGCCTACAGCACTCCCAGGATTACCCACTACGGTCCATTCCTTAGAAAGAGAACAGCTTCCTGGAGATGTAACGCACAAGCTGAGACTCCATTTCAGGCTTCACAGCCAGCCATGAAGCAGAGCATCTTGGGTCTTATGAAAACTCTGCTCCTTGTCTGTTCTCCTGTGAGCCAGGGAGAGAAACAAGGGTGTGAGGGAGACGGATCTGCCTGTGAGAAAGCACACCCAACCTCAGTGCCCAAGAGGTGCAGTGAAGATTTTCCATGATGTTCTGTGTGGCATTTCCAGAAGATGTTTTAGTTCCTTGCTCACTGCTCTTAGTGGGCCCTGCCAGAGTGCACAAGGTGCAGCTTCAGGTATGTGGTGGGTCTGACCACACAGCACGTGCTCCTGTTCTTTGCCAAAATGCTTAGGCTGTTTTTGGTTGTCTTTGCAACTGTCCAGGTGCCCATGCCTTTGAAGGAAGTGCTTCTGCTAATGCTAATCCTTACCCTTTGAGGTTCCACAATGTGGCACAGACATTCAGAGGATGGGGAGAGTGTGGGGTGTTATCTTGGAGGCCACAATGTCAATATGATTTAAAGAATCCTATTGGAGGACAACCTAATCAGAGAGAGCTCTCACCCCAGCTGGCACTTTTCCAACTTAACCTCACCTCACTTACCAGCTTTCAGTTGTGTCTTTTGACCATGACAGAAGCTCCTTCGGACACCTGCATGGACCTTGCCTCCAACCCTGGCTTGTTTGGCACTATAGAGGGACTCTGTTTTTATTCCCTGGCTAAGCTTCTGCCAAAACCCTCACTTTCACGAGGGTCAAGACTTGAATTCAGTAAATAAATGTTCTCTGAGGCCAGAAGCTTCCAGGTCACCTTAGAACCTCGAATGTCAGTTTCTTTTTTTGCTTGTTTTGAGACATGGCCCCTCTGTGTAGTGTTGGCTATCCTGAACTCACTACGGAGACCAGGCTGGCCTCAGACTCACAGAGATCCTCCTGCCTCTGCCTCCTGAGTGCTGGGATTAAAGATGTGGGCTGCCATGCCTGGTCTGTCGAGTTCTTTTAAAGTCTATATATTAATTGATAGCTTCCCAAACTGTCTCCTTCTGAGATCAATGCCTTGTTCTAAGACCAGACCTAGCAAACTTTTCTCTCTCTCTCCCGCCTGTCCTTTTCACACATCTGTGGCACTCATCTGTCACTTAGAGGGCCTGTCCTAGTGCATGCTAATTCACAACCATTAGAATGTAGCTCTTGCCCTCCCTCAGAACTGTCAGACTGAGGAGGTAAAGAGACAGAGTCTGTGAGGAAAGGACAGTCACCACCAGTGTCCTTGACAAATACCATAAATAAGTCATTTTAATTATATACTCCTTTTACCAATAGCAGCCATCTGTGGTCTCATCTCAGTAATGCCCTTACGCGACAGGAGATCCAATTCCCCAGTGCTGTTGGCTGGGGGAAGATCGCGTTTCATTTCATGTTTAATTGACAAGCTATACTTACTGTGGCCATGGCTGGGGAGATGGGGAAACCACTCAGTTCTGAAGAGATGGTGGGGAGTTTGGGGAGAGAACAAAAACTACTGGATGGCAACTGTCCTTGTCCTTTGGGCCGAAGCATTCCAGATCCATCTCCAGTTTCCTCCGCACATGTATGGTTGCCATCGTGATTCTGTATGAAATGACACCCACAAGTACAAACAGCTAGTGAAGAGCCAGCTTTAAGTCTCCCAGTGCTCAGAAAGTGTTGTCTCCCTTTTAAAGATATCTAAAACTGTGATAAACAGTAGCAGAAGGGCTGGAAAGGTCCAATGTCTGTGTCAAGGGGGTTTCTCTTGTGCTTTATGGGACTGGGAAGGCGAAATGTAACTATGGAAACATAATTAATGCTATCAAGACCTTGACTTGAAATTATGTTTGGAGAAGAATGCAAATGTCACCATGTCTCATTTGGGGAGGACAACACTCTGTAAGTGCTGATGAGTCATCAGTCTAGGCCAGGTTATCCTTGTTACCTTGTTAACTGGACAAAGAATTGGGTTACCACCCCCTTTAATTCTTTCTGATTTTTATTCCCCCTCAAGGGACTGTGATACACCCATATCTCTTTAAAAAAAATCTATTTTTACACTTGCTGATTGATGCTTGTGGCATTTCTGTGTTAGTTAACATCAACTCTTTCAATGTACTCATTCCTTACCAGTGTTATGAAAACACCTTTCCGACCACGAAGGGCATGCCTTCTTAGTGTTTCTGTACTCCTCGAGGTGAGGATGCTTTCTTATCTCATGAACACAGCATCTGAATCACAGACAGTGATGGGCTGAGATGAATTTTGTAACCCAAATGGGAAATCGTCACATTCATACCAATGGGCTTACCCCTCCTCTGTCAAACCGTACCTGGAGATTTATTTCCTCTGTCCTTTCAAAAATCATCTTATCTTTGGAGTGTCCTATCTCCCCAGTGGTAACTATAAAAATTTAATATTTCCAGAACTAAAATAGAATCATTATCTCCCTGATTCTAATTTAGACTATGGCTAAGGGGGCTTTAGAAAAAAAATAAGGCTTTTGCTCACAAGTTACTCACAACAAGGAAAGTGCTTTAGCCATGTAGTTAAAATATTGACAATTCAATTGCTTGATCACATATATTAGTACCAGGAAAAGTCACCTTAACAGTTTGTGCTGTGTTGGTTCAGAGATTGAAGTACATCCTGAAATTCGAAGTCATTTACCTTCTTACGCTTTTAGGCTATACAGATACATCTTTCATTTTACATTGTATGAGAAACTGAAATAGCCTTTCAACACCCAAATATGCTTTTATTTCCATTATTTAAAAATGGCAAGGGAAAACAAGAAGCCAATAAAGATAATTATTTTTAAAACTACTTTTCTCTAGGCACATGACCACACTCAGTTTTCACAATGTAGCTTGATTTTTACAAGTGTAGGAACTTTCTATTCTAATATCACATTTCCTAAAATAATAGCAATATAGTGTACTTACTGATGAACAATGGCTCTTAAAAGTAGGAAGAGGCTGGGCAGTGGTGGTGCACCCCTTTAATCCCAGCACTTGGGAGGCAGAGGCAGGCAGATCTCTGTGAGTTCAAGACCAGCCTGGTCTACAGAGTGAGTTCCAGGACAGCCATAGCTACCTGTCCCACAAAACAAACAAACAAACAAACAAACAAGCAAAAAGGAGAAAGAAGTAGGGAAAGAAATTTATGAAGAAAAAAGTCTTCCCATGTTAAAGGGCAGTGCCTGAGTGACATTATGTGCATGGAGTAAATGCAAATCATGCTGTTTAATGTGACAGTTTGAAGAAGCCACTAGAGAAACCACACATTGGCTTTGAGAAAGTCATTACCTGAGGATTTGTGTTATTGGTTCCCAACCTGTAAGTGAAAGAGAAAACATCAGGTAAATTACTCAGTCCATTCAAACCTCACATCCTCACACCTCCCCAGACCCTGCCTTGCTAGGGAGTCTCTGTCAACAAATACATTTGTTGGAAGCATTTTAAATGTAAGTCTATAATGAAAATGTGTCACACAGTGAGCATAGGTGACAAACACCTAGAATCCTTATTTTGGAGATGTAAGACAACAATACCTTACCTATGATTCTTACCTGAAGATGCCTCTCCATTTGTCAAGAAATAAAATTTTCCTGGTAATTTCATTTAAATCCAACTCTAGAGGACTTTGTTCCTGGACTGAGATCTCTGTATCCATTTAGATAAAGTGAGGACTTGGAATAAAGAGGCTGTTTGGATGGGAAAAACAGCCTGACAGTGGAGAGGAGAGGTGTCTGGAACACAGCTCAGAGCTCAGGCCACACAAGTGCGGCTCTGAGCAGATTCCATTAAACTTTCATTAGAGGTGGAGTCCGTGTTCGTATTTTTGTCCACTGTATAGGTGCCATGAATATTTAATCCAAGATAGATTTATAAACAAAGGGATTTCAATTACCTGTATCAAATCATTGGAGATAATGTAGTTGATGAGAAACTATGCAGGTGTAATGTCATTGTTCCTTATGCTAGGGTATCTCCTGAAAAGAGTTTGTGGAGCAGAAATATGCAGACACTAGAATTGAAAACCACCATAATCACATAAAGGACAACATTAGCTAACAAACAGATATCTGGTGTAGAATTTAGTGGACAGAAATCAGGAGCAAATGCAGAGGGGCTATATAAAGGAGAAATCTAAAAGACCTATCTCTCCCTGTTGGCTGGATGCATTGTCCTTATAATAATTGGCATAATAAAAATGCATGCAGTTTGGCTGCTGATGCAAAGACAGGGATAAGGTACCAGCAAGTTTTATTCCCTCTTTTGACTACTGAGTGTTAAAACTGAATGTCTTTAGGAGATATTTTCTCTGTAGACTTTTCTGGACATCAGTTCCATAAAATCCTAGGCATCCAAAGAGGTCACTTAGATTTATTGTAACCAAAGTGGTCAGGCCTGAGAAGACTGGTGATTGATATTATTGCAAAGACCTTGAAGCATAGCAAGGCACTAAATGCACAGGAAATTTAGACTTCCACAATCCAACTGAGGAGCACTCCACCACTGTTTCTTAGACTAATTTTGGGTGATGCTAACCATTTCATATTCACATGCCCTGTAAATGTCTACCAGATTTAGTATTCTATTGTAAACCTAAGAGGTATAAATAAATCCTCTCTTATTGCCCCTCTTTAACCATAAATTTTATTCCAAAAAATAAAAGGCCTTTGTGCTTTCCTCTTTATAATTTTACAGTTTCAATGATGGCATCAGTGTTTAATATTTATTAGGCACCCCTAATACAAAAAAAGAAATAAATTGCATAATTCTTGTTCTCAACTAATATAATAATGAGAAATGTTCTCAAAATTCCTATTTAGAAAACCGTATTAAAAAAAATAAATTCTCGATCTGCCATTTAAATTATTTAAAGACTCAAAAACCAGGAAAGGAGAATAAATCAGAAGGCCATTTTTCTTAAGAATCATTATTAAATCTGTGTGTCTGGGGCCATGTTTTTGTTCTAACTTGCATAGAATGCTTTGAAGATAGACACATAAATCCCAGTGATTGGACAAGTTACTAGGAAACCTGAGGGACACTTGCAGACACCAAGGTGAATAAGATGCTCTCTTTCTCTATCATGGAGGAGGCACACACACAGAGGAAAGGTTGTGAGGTAGCACAGAGCATTATCCAGACAAAAAAGAAGGCTAGTTGTACAGCCTCTGGGCTAGGCTACTTATCTGTGGGTCACAGGTTTACCGACCAAAAGCTGCCTTGGACAAATTATTTAATCTTTTTTTGTACATTAGTTTTTCATCTTGGAAATACAAATGGTTTGCTATCTTTGTCTATTGAGATGTCTAATCTATGAACATGGTATAGCCTCTTGTTTAGAGTGTATTTATCTTTCAAATGCTCTATAGACTCAATCTAATCTAAGAATTGGTTAAATCAAATGATGATGGTTATTTAAGAAGACTCATCATTTATGATCATCTCTTGCTTAGCCTCTTTTGCTACTTCTATGCCCAAGTTGGATACTTGGGGATGGCTGGATAGTTCATACTCTTATGACTTTCCCAAGCTTTCTTTTTCCTCTTCAGTTAGGTGATATGGAATATTAGTTGAAGATGTGTTACATTCATTTATATTGTGGAACATTTGTTTAGTGATGCAAAGATAGATGTGTTGCATTTGTTTAACTCTGTGAAGTTGTGTTACTTTGCCTGTCTAAAACTCCTAATTGGTTGAATAAAGAGCTGAATGGCCAATAGCTAGGCAGGAGAGAGATAGGTGGGGCTGACAGGCAGAAAGAATAAATAGAAGAAGAAAAAGAGAAGAGGGAGGAGTGAAGAAAGGAGACAGAGTGGACGATGCTTGGGGCCAGCCACACAGCCACACAGCCAGACATGGAGTAAGAAGTAAAGAAAAGATACACAGAAATAGAAAAAGGTGAAAGCCCAGAGGCAAAAGGTAGAGGGGATAATTTAAGAAAATCTGGCTAGAAACAAGCCAAGCTAAAGCTGGGCATTCATAAGAGAGAATAAGTCTCCATTTATCTACTTGGGAGCTGGGTGGTGGGCTCCCCTAAAAGAGTAAAGAGTGTGGGGGGGAGGGAACTATAGTTAGGAGCTGGCAAGGATTCCACAGGTGGAAAGGGCTGATTCCGGATGCCAAGAGTTAGAAATGGGACTTAGCCACATCAGCAGAAGCCACCAGTCTTTAGTGCATTTGGTCAAAAGCCATAGAGTGTAAGGACTGGATATAAAAAGTGGAGTGAAAAGAGATGTGACTGTGGGGTCCTGGACCGGGGCAGGAGGGCTAGGGCAATGGAAGGCACAGGACTATGGTTCTTTCTTCTATATATACACTTTTTCCCTACCCACGGCAGACAATCACCCAGTGTTCCTGCCCCAAGATTGCTTTTGATGCAATGAAGAAATATGAGTAATTTGAGTATGAAATATAGAATTTCAACCATGAGAAAAGTCAGTATGGATTCCAAGTGTAGAGGTGGAGTGCATAAGATTGTAATGTAGATGAATTTCTCAATGGTCTTATTAAATAAAAAACATGGAGCCAGAAATTTGGGTTAAAGCCTTAGAGAGATCAAGGATATAGGGAAAGCTACAAGCCAACCTTACCTTACCGACTCTGCAACTTCCAAATGGTGCAACTTCCTGTCTACCCAGGCTTTATATGCCTTGCTTTTCTGCCTTCTCTTAGCCCAGCTACCTCACTTTCTCTTCCCACACAGCTCTGTCACTTTCTGTCTGTCTGTACAGACCTCTAGGTCTCTATGGTTGGAACTAGAATTAAAGGTGTGTGTCACCACACCTGGCTCTGTTCCCTAGTTTGGCCTTGAACACACAGAGATTCTGCCTGCTAAGTGTGCTATCACTGCCTGACTTCTTTGTTTACTTATAATGGCTTTCTTTTTCCTGTGATTCTCCAGGCAAGCTTTGTTTATCAAAGCACAAATAAGATATCACCACATTGTAACGGCATCAAGATTTGCTCTACTCCTTTGGAAAACAATGACTAATCTTAATAATCAGCCCTCAGGTCAAATCTGTAAGCCTTGGACTTGCACAAGCATTTTCATTGGCTTGCAAAACTAGCCCCAAACTTTTTCGCTTGCTGTTTTCATGTAACATTTCACAAACAGAAAGATGGAAGCAAGATTTTAGAGGCTTTGGGTTTTATTTTGAAAGTCTTGTTAGTGCTGTTTCTGGAAAAGTCTCTTTAGTAGCAGGTTAAAGACTATTAGTGTTGTTATTCATTTTCTTTGGATCTGCTTTCTGACATGGACTATTCTATATCTATTCCTTCCTAAAACAACTTTGCTAATCTGCATTTTCTAGGAGATGGCTGATGCAGTCTCCTTTTGTTCTTTGGTACTATTGTGGAGAGGGGGAGGATGGTGTCAGGTCCAGGGTCAGATTTCTGGTCTTGTAACAATGTAACCAGAAGGAAGTTACTTAGACTCTTACCTCCTTTCCCATACTCCCCTTGTCTCAGAAAATAGAACCCTAATAATTATGACTCATCAGAAAACTAACTTTTAATCTGTTTTCTTGTCTTTTCAATGTTAAAATTCCCCTTTAATTTTTTGCTATTTGTGTTTTATTTATTTATTTAATTTCATTTTCCGAGTGGCAGCAAGAGCCTTGGGCAGGCAGAACTTTAAAGTCCTGAGAGAGTAAATGGACATTGGTCCTAACTCAGTCCATCGGGCTATTGACCTTTGACCACTCAATAATGGCTGTGGGTCTCAGTCATTATCTAAAAAGCTTTTAAAACTAGGGTAGTTTTGGAAGATACATGTTTGGTTTTGCACCTGATTCCTAAAATCTTGGAAATTCCTGAGTAACAAAGGAGATGATCCTTCTCACAAGCTGGCACTTTTAGAACAGAGGCTAATCACTGGGAAGACTAAGCCTGGATTAGAACTTTGGAACTTTTAGCTGAAACCTCTGACCTCTGGGGAGTGAAGTGTTTATCACCACGGCTAATGGCTCAATTTGTCAGTAATGCCAAAGTAAGAACATCCCTAAGAAACAGGATCTTCGGAACTTCTCAGCTGATAACTTCTCAGCCCAAGCACCAGAAGGGAGGTGTGCCTCCTCCCCTGGGGACAGAGGCTTCTTGCCCTTGGGACCTAACCAGATCTCCCCCTTATGAATGTCTTCATCTTGTTCCTTATTTGCATCTTTTATGATAAATATAAGTAAATGGGCTTTCTGAGTTCTGTGATCCATTCTGTCAAATTACCAAGGTGTCCTGGGGACCATTGTTTTAGACCTAGTGGGTCAAATGTAGGAGGAACCATTACAGATGGGTTGAAAATGTTGCAACGTTGAGGAGTTTCCTTGTGTGTCAGTGGGCCAGGCTGGGTCTCCATCCTTGTTTAGACTTGGTAGACTAATTCTGAGTCTTACATAGTTGATATCAGAACTTCCTTTCTTTTTGGTTTTGAAAGAAGATCTCACTATATAATATAGCCTTGGCTGACCTGGCTATGTAGAACAGGCTATGTAGAACAGGCTAGTCTCAAAATCATAAAAGATCTGCCTGCCTATGCTTCCTGAGTGTCAGGATTAAACACCACCAAACCTGGTCCAGAACTTATTTCTTTGTAGTGATAGAATTGGTTGCTTCAAGACGATGGCAAGAGAAGGAAATTTGTGTCTAAAGTCTCTGACCCTAGGG